CCTTGTGCGATGAGAAGAGAAGAGAAAACTTGGAACAATTGAAAGTTCAACCAACACCTGCACGCATAAGAATTCGAGAGACAGCATCATAAATTCATAAATTCATGATCACGCTTCCATGGATTCCAAGGTTCTTAAATGATGTCAAGCCGCCACACAAAGTGGCTGAAAAGAGGGGCAAATTAAAAATGCGGGGACAGCCTTTTTATACCTGTCTCGCCCTGTAAAAGATTCTTGACTGCAGGCACCACGGCAACATCAAACAGATCATTTGCGGGTCCCTGCCAACTTTATCTCCCATTTACCCTTTCTAGCCATTCTTGTTGATTCGATTTCGACATCTGGGTGACATTTTGTGCATCCTCAAATAGTATACGAGTCCACCACGAGAAGTGGGATTCATCATAATTTGCTGGAAGCTCCCGATGTACCGGTAGATCTTATTCACCAGTTTCATCATCTCTCACGAGAAGGGAGGTAAAATGTCATGTTGGGGGTGACAGTTGGTAATGAGTAGGATGGGAATGCAGGATTTCCTAGGTACTTGCATCAATGCATACTAGGTAGGTAGGGAGTTCAACTGAAAGCTAACCTGATGTGGAGAGCTTCTTTGAGATCAGACCTTGATATCAGCAGCACAATTCACTCCACCACGATTTGGTCGTTTGTTGCGCCATCTTCCAGGTAACTTTTACATCATTCCACGCGTTTGCTAGCCAATCAGCCAGCATTTCAACTCGTTATGAGACAATGAGACCATGCTACAAGAGAATGTCAAGCTTTCAGTGGATAGCAAGTTGTGGAGGCTGACGACATCGTTCATATCGAAATCTACCCCTCAATTACCTTGATTTAGCTTGTCAAATACTTGTCAAAGACGCTTTTGGACCAAGTACAATGATACAAATACTTCGCTGTTGCCGCATTACTCTTGACTTTCCTCCCATATACAATTTACTTCTTGCTTAAGATACCCCTTAGTTTACATACAAACTTAATCATCGCACTTTTACGGACATCACCAACCAATTGAATACATACATACCATATACTACAATCAACAATCTTCTAAATCACAATCATGGACAAGCTCAAGGCACTCCTGTAAGATATTACAATCTACCACTACCAATTTGACAAATGCTAACCTTTGAATAGCCACGGCACCACTCCGGAACACGAGAAGGAAGTCAAGGAAGAAAAGAAGGCCGAGAAAATTGAGCAAAAGGAGGAGAAGAAGGCTGAAAAGCATGGAGCTGCTCACTCGAACGCTGGCGAAGGAAGCCATCTCGCAAAGGGTCCCCACTCTGAAACCCACCCACCCGCAGTCACCGATGCCAGCCATGCATCCCACACCACCCACGCGAATCCTACATCAGCAGGTCTAAGCCATACATCAGGAGGACTTGCCCAAGACAACGTTCCTCACAGACCTAGAGACTCTGAATTTGGTTCAACTGCCACTGGACCAAACACACATGCTCATGGCATCGATTCCGCAACTCGCACAAATGAAGCCGGGCTTACAGGACACAACACTAGAGACCCTCTCTCATCACACACTGCTGGTGTTCCATCAAACACTACTTCTGGCTTGGGTGGTGTCACTAGCATTCCTTCAGGAAACGGTTTAGATACTCATGGTAGAGATAACATCGGCAGTCACGGGAATTCCCACCTTGGCAGAGATGCAGCCATTGGAAGTGGAGCAGTTGGTGCTGCAGGGTTAGCTGAACATGAACACCGAAAGCATGGAAATACCAGTCTTGGATCTCATCCAACTCATGGACATGCTGAGGGCTCTCACGGAATACATAACTCGGCTGCATTAAATGCCGCTGACCCAAGAGTCGATTCAGATTTGGATGGAAATCGTCTTCCAAACAAGACTTCATCTGGTTACGGCACTCAAGATGCTTACGGTACAACCACAACTGGCTCCTCAGGACATCACTTAGGTCGTGATGCTGCCGCAATTGGCACCGCAGGAGCTGTTGGAGAGGGCATTCATAATCATAACAACCAACACAGCCAAGGTGGTCTTCGAGGAACTACTGGACCTCATACCACGGCGACTGCAAATCTTCTGGATCCTCATTTGGGTGGTTCCGGAGTTCGTACTGAAGATGCTCACACTCATCACGGACATGGCCCCAAATCAGGCCTAGTTGAAGGTGGTGGCGCTGAAGAGGCTGACGGTGTTCATGGTAGTAAGGGCACTTCTGCTGCTGCTGGCGTAATCCCAGTTGGAGCATATGAAGCTGGCCATGGACATAACACCACTGCCGGACCACACACGTCCAACTTAGCCAATAAAGCAGACCCACGAGTGGACAGCGATCTCTCAAAGCAACAAAACCACCATTATGGACGTGATGCTGCTGTAGCTGGAGCTGTTGGTGGAGCTGCATACGAAGCCAACAAGCATCATCATAACTCCGCTAACACTACCGCTGGTCCCCACTCTTCAAACATTGAGAATAAGGTTGATCCAAGAGTTGATAGTGATCGCTCAAGAGAGCAACATCACTATGGACGAGATGCTGCTCTTGCTGGTGGAGCCGGTACTGCCGCATATGAGGCTAATAAACATCACAACACAGCAAACACTACAGCTGGCCCCCATTCCTCAAATCTTGAGAACAAGGTTGATCCAAGGGTCGATAGTGATCGCTCCAAGGAAGGTCATCACTACGGTAGAGATGCCGCCCTTGTAGGAGGCGCTGCGGGAACAGCTTACGAAGCTAATAAGCATCACAACACTCACGGCCTTGACCAAAAGCCTGTGGGTAAAGATCTCGGGGATAAACTCCACGGCGCTGAGAGAAACCGTGGTGTCAACGGACCTACCGGATTCCCTCATGAGAGCGGACATTCGGTATCAGCTGGTCCGGTAGGGTCTGGTGTTCCAGGAGCTCCTCGTGGAAATGTTCAAGTCTCTGACAACACCCACGGCCATAATCCAAACGTCGAGCCCCCAGTTCATAACTCCACTGGACCTGATCATATCTTCACTGCTCCAGTCATGGATGATCCCGCGGCCAATGCTGCTCTTCGAGAGGGAAAGATTGATCAACATGAACATCGCCCTGGAGATGAAGGAGTTAGAGGCGTTGGACGTGATCACGGTGAAGATCACAGCTTCTCTACCGGTGGCGGACATGAGCACAGCAAAAGCAGAGGATTAGAGAATGAAGGTCACTCTTCCCCATTGGGCAACACTTCTTCAGGCTCTGGGTTGAAGCACGATAATCTAGCCGATCATAACACCACTTCTACTGGTACCACAGGTTTGAGCCACGGTTCCGGACTGACTGGCCACAACACCGCATCCACTGGCACCACTTCCACTGGCACCACAGGCTTGAGCCACGGCTCTGGGCTCACTGGTCACAACACCACTTCCACTGGCACCACAGGCTTGAGCCATGGCTCTGGTCTTCACGGTTCCGGTTTGACTGGTTACAGCACCGGTTCTTCGGGTAACAACGTTACTGGTTTGAAGCATGACGTTGGTTTGACTGGAAACAACAATACTTCTACTGATACTACAGGCTTAAGCCATGGTTCAGGTCTCACTGGACATAACACAACCTCCTCTGGTCTCAACCATGATTCTGGCTTGACCGGATCAACTGGTACCCATGGCCTCTCGGGCGAAAACAGATTGGGAGAGACTTCTGAGTTTGGAAACACCACCAACAATCGAGTTTTGTAAATGGAATCGACAGGCAGGCAAGCGGTCGATTGAATGATATTATTCATGTGATTTATGATTATTATGATGATTTAATGGTTTCTTACATTGTCTTATGCGGGCTTAAGGCTTTCATGTATATTAGTTAGGTTTATTTATTTATGGAAAGGAATGGAATGAATATGATGATATTTACAAAATCATGAATTTGCAAAATGAAACGTGATAAATTGAAAGTGTTCATCGAAAGTTGGTAGGTAACTTTGCATGAAAAGATTTAAACTAGAGCAGGCGAATTCCTATCTAGAATCAAGAAAGAAGTCCAAGTATCTTTCATTCTTGATAGTTGAGACTAGAAGTTTAGCTAGTTTCCTTTATGGAACGAAATTTTTATACTAGTCAATGATATCTAATAATGACGTCGTTTCTCTGTAAACTTCAATGTTTTTCCTCTACCCCTTCTCTTGGATCTAGAACTTTGGAAGTTTCATAAGTGTGAGGTCTTACCTCCCTAGTATATGCATCTGACGATCACTTTGGCGCTAATATGGAATTGATCTTCTTCACATACTAACCTCATCGTCTCCAAATTCTCTTCTCCATTATTTCCTTTCATGTATATACAGAGGATCTACCTATTTTCATTGTTAATCTTATATATTTCCCGTCTAGAAGATTGGTATACTGCAACTTTCATTCCGCCACTTACATACCTAGGTAGACACGCAAAGTTAAGCATGTATAATCTGTTACCTCGTACAGGGAAAGATAATGTGTATCATAATTCGTGCTATTTAATCTCCTCGCCATATCTGTATATACTTTTGATCTTGGGTCTGTGTATTCCGTTTCGATGGCCGGTTTATTGGTTACTTTCTGGGGCGCCGGTGTTGGAGGCGATTTTGCTTGCGGGGGGCGAGAGGGAGAGGGATAGGGAGGTTGGTGATCGGAGAGAGAAGGGGGAGTTTGATGGGATTAGGAGTGCGAGGATTCTGCGGCATTTTCCTTTGTGGCCGCTGGCTACGACGCTGGATTTGATTTACTGTGTTTGTAGGACGAGTTGGCTTTTCTACTATCTGTTTGCGGGGGTGTGTTGGGGGTGTGTGCCTCTTGTGTGTCTGTTCCAATTTCCGGGGGCGGGAAAGATGTTGCGGAGACAGTTGAGGAGGGTGTTGTTGGTGAAACGGTTTGGGTTGCAGTTTATTGAGGATCGGATTGGGGTTTTTGATATTCCGGGGTTGGAGATTGATACCGAGGTGGATGGGTTGATGGTCGTGCGGGGATGACATTAAGGTTGAGTGCGATGAGTTTGGTGGTTCATGGGGTGGAGGTGGGGTTGAAGATGGTGGTGGGGGAAGGGGAGGAGGAAGAGGAAATCGAAATCGGGATTGCGTGTGAAGAGGTGGTGGTGAGGTTGGGGAGGGGCATTGAAGTAGGAGATTGTTTTGTGAGTGTGAAGGGTGGGGAGGGAGAGTTGAGTTTCAAAGATGCGGAAGATGGGACTGCACGGAAGGGCGATGATGAGAAAGGAGAGAATGAGATATGGGAGGTGGATTCGAAAATGTTGAGAGCTGTTAAGGGGAACGAGGTGGAATTTGAGAACGGGATTGGGAACGTCAACGTCAACCAAAATGAGGCTGGAATGGTAAAAACCGATATGATCGACGGACATACACCAGTAGATACAGATGTGAAAGAGGGCATCAAAATTATCAGAACCATCACTCCAGACGACACCGAAGCAGCCAACGAACAATACAACAAGACCATCGAGATGATCCGCTCCACAAACAGCATTGAAATCTGCCGTCAAGAAGTCCAGCACCTCGTGCAATCCAAAGCCGAAAGAAACTCCCACAGCACCGGCAGCCACGAAACCGTCAACGAAAACAGCAACAATGATATCCGCGCCGCAATTTGTTCTCAACTCCACCGCCAACCATCCATCACGCACCCCCCATCCCGCTCCATCAAAGTCACCACACTCCAAACCCTAGCACCACCCCATATCCGCGCCATTCTGCACCGCCTCCCCATGCTCCTCCGTCTGCTCCTCCACCCGCTAGCGCACTTCCACCCCGTGAAAATCTCCTCCCTCACAGCCACCGGATCTGGAAAATGGATCCAAGAGATCCTCTCCACAAAACTCTTCAAAAACACCACAATTTACACACCCCCCTCCTCACCCACCTCCCCCATGTTCTCATCCGCATCCTTCGCATCGCGCAGACCATCCGACCCCACCGCCGCCGATGACGAGTCCGCCATTCCCAAAATCCAACAACGCATCAACGAGTGGCTCTTACCCGCCAATTTCGTGCTCCAACTGGGTTCCATTACTGGTCTTGCACAGGTCCCCTTCCTTTCCACATACGATATCCACTGTTCGCTATCCAGCAGCAACATACAAGTCTACCGCACTCTCCCCTCCACCATTGCATTAAAACAAGTTGTGTGCCTCGGGGGCGCAGACGCCACATTTGCGATTCCGAGTTTTCTGTTGCCGCATCATGAACATATATTACCCGCTCGAGCTGCCTCGTTCAAAAGAAGAAGGGAAGAAAACGGAGATGGGAAAGTAGACCAATCTACCGAAGAAAAAAGAGATGATGGATCGAAAGAAGATGAATGCGTAGTTCGCATAGCAGCACATGCACAATTACCCATAGTAATGGATCAGGAGCTATTAGATTGGCTGGCGAGTGTTGTGAAGGCGAGTAAGGTAGTAGAAGTGGAGAGGGAGAAACGATGGATGGATTGAGGAGATCCACGGATTTCGGGATTTGGTGGGGTGGTGAAGGGAGGGGTGAAGGATGTATGTATTTCCATTTTCGATTCTTGTTTCTCTCACCCCCTTCTCTTAAATACTTTATTTTGGCCAGCTTCCCACATTCCACTCCCTTGCCCCTTTTTCTTCTTCTCGGTGACTAATTGAATCTCGTGATGAACCATAAGGCTCATAAGGGAATGAAGAAGACGCTTGTCAGCGCCACGGTTAACGATAAATGGATCGCCAAAATGGTAGGGAAGGTGACGAAGAATTGGAAGAGGCGAAGGGAGATATCGGATATGCGGGAGATATCAAGGTACCGCTGGGACCTTATAGATTAGGGGAGGAGGCAAGAAAGAGAGGAGAAGGAGATAAGATATTGCCTTGAGGAATGGAGGGAAAGGGTGAGGTGTAAGATTATTCTAGTGAAAATGTAATATAATTTGTATAGAATGCCTTCAGCTTGGTATACTGGGCAGTGAAAAAATTTGCAAGGGCTAAATATATGCCCAACATCCATCTAAATTCTAAAATGATGGCAGCAGCTCCCTGAGCAAGCGACCATATATAAAAATGCGCAGATCGTTGCAAACAGGCCTTAGAGACATGGCCTAGATCCTCAAATTAAAAGTTCTCTTTGAATCATCCAAATAATCTCTAAATGACAAACTTTATAGAAACCATGATCTTACAAAGCTCCCTCAAATGCGATCTCCCATCACATCATACCACATCACAAACCTTCAGCCTCTCTCTCCTCTCCCACAGCGCCTGCACACCACTGCACAAATCCCGCAATCTCATTCGAGACCGTCGACAACCTAGGAATATCATGACCACCCCCATGATTCCAAACCTTTTTCTTTCCCGCACAGAAGCTCGCCAAATTCAGACCCGCCAACCGACGGGGATCTTTCTGCCCATAAATATGAACGGTAGGGATCTGTATCTTCCATCCCTCAGGAACTTGTAATCCATATGGATTCTCCATATCTATATTTTCCACATTCAGAATTGATGTTTTCTCCGCCTTTGTATTCCAATAATCATCTCCAGGCTTGGCCGTTTCGACCGAGTTCGCGGTTGCGAAGAGTTCTTTTACAGATTGTGTTTCCAAATCTCGTGTCAAAGATGGAATCTCAATACCCAGATCTTCGATGATAGGTAGTGGCATGCCTCCACAGATAAAAATGGCACAGCTGAACGGTAGAGGAATATGCGGTCGTGTAACCTGATGATCTAGCAAGAACCCCGCGACGAGCGCACATCCTTGCGAAAAGCACATTACACCATCGTAGGGACCATTCTTATCAATGTGTTCTTGGAGGTACGAGTAGGATTCGCGGATGGCGGAGGGATCTGAGGAGTGGTAATAGGCGTAATATGGAGGGTTGAAGAAGAGTGATACACCGGCTGCGGGGGGAGATGTGTAGGGACCATCGAGGAAATCGAATGTATATGAGGGGGGAAGAAGACGGCGGAATGTTGCTGGGAGGTATGCGTTAGAATATGGGTTTATATGGTGGGATTGTATTGTAGGATAGGAATTTGGGTGAAGATCCCTGGGGAGGAGAAAATATCATACCAGATTGAATAGAAAAGATCTCAGCACTTGTGCCTTTTCCATGTAAACATAAAAACCTCATATTGTCCAAAAGTTGGGATATTTCGCACACTCAAAATAGTTCAGATAGACGACACAAAGTGATATTGAATCTAGATATCCAAGATGCAAAAAAGGAAAAGGATACTGGTCTTGTCTTATATACAATTATCCATTATGGCAAAGCACACAAGACCATTGAATCGCAATAGAAGACCTCGGTGCTCGGTGCCCGATCATGTAGTCACTGTAACACCGCATCCCACATACTGACTGTGCTTGATGTGCTGTGCCAGCCATACCTGACGTGCTGTAGCGTGTTATCAGTAGAGGGATTCCTGCCTTGGATTGTGTTGAAGAGTATGACGGATGCAATTACTTTTTTCCATTCATTTGGATGTCTTCTTCTTCCCAATGGAGAATTCCATTTGTGCGATATACACTTGAAGGACCTTTTCGGACGAGACAGTTGTATTCGAGCATGAAATATTTGGTGGTTCAGTGCTGTGCTCTCTCTGTAGAGCATCGATATCGATCAGATTCCGGAGTTTGTCAGTGGACCTTGATAGGATGGATGTCTGTGCTGAGCTTGAATCTTAGTGGTCGTCGCGTCGCAGCTCAAAACTAGTGGGGGTCAACAAAATCAACAAAACATACCTATGTACCTATGTACCTAGATCTAGACGACATCTTCACAAAACCCCTTTGCTTCGCGTCCCTCTAGAAAGCACGGCATACCCGTATATTCTTCCACTAGAAAAGCCATACAGTACCTAGGTATCTCCTGATGTCCGAGAACTGTGTGGTTGAAGATTACCACTTCGAGTGAAGGGCTATTTTTAGTGATTTGGTATGGGCATCGGAGTCGCGGAGTGTTGTGTTATGGCCAGCTCTTGTTGATTCAGAGTGTGTTTGTGTCTATGAATACCATCGTGGCTTATGAGAAGAGCTTGTACTGTGTGTTACTTCGCGATACCGTATTGATTCTTACTTGATGGGTGGATAGTTTCATTCTTCTATTGTGATATCACCGAGTAGTGCTTTCTCATGGAGCTTTTCATGACTTGGACATGTTTGTGTTGAAATTTTACATATATTAAACTACCTACGAGTACATCATGGAAAGTTCCAATATCTACATATCTCCTAATATATGTTACCCCCAAACCTTCCGGGTATCCTCATCCTGTCTATCTTGAAAAGTATACACTTCAATGCCCCCTTATTCTCAACAAATAATATTACTACTGTGGCTTTCAATCAGATCGGAACCTCTATACTTTCTTCCACTGCTGCTGTAGATCCAAGGTGATACGCAAACTATGGAAGGTCGTAAACCATGAACCCTCGCTTGGATAAAGCATGAACTCCCCTCTGGTACACTGGTTCGAGACTTGGAGGAGAATCGAGTGTGCTCCATCTTTATAAGTCATCACTTGTTCTAGTTTCCACTAGCGAATGTCCATAGTTCCAATAATATCGCCCCTTGTCCCAGTCCCGAAAAAGCTTTCCGCTGGCAAGTAATGCTCGGCGCTCCGACCTTGAAATTGGCACGCTCAGGACCAAATTTTGAATCGAATTTCTTTTGAATATTTCAAGTCCATCGCTCCACGAGCCACTTATGAGATAGATATATTGTATTCTCATTTCTACATCTGATGACTTTAGATTGTCGATGAATGTTTCTAGCTCTGATAGATGAAGCGGTACAAGGGACAAGTATATTGATCTGAGATTCGGCCATTTACGACTGGTGAGAATTGCTCCCAAAGAACGCGCCGATGGATCCTGCTCCAAACCTCCCAGCCCCATAGCGTCGCGCGATAGATGGATGTCAATCTTTTCTAGAGCATTTGTGTTCACAATCGCAGAAAGATATTTAGCCAGACCATCTGATTCCGTGGGCGTCCACTGACCACGTACATCATCTTCGTCATATATGCAATGAAATTTTAACTGTTTTAGCCGCTGTGTCGCAGCTGAAAGTTCTTGGAAGTCCTCAAATGAGGCCAAAGTTCTGTGATCGTCGGGACGTTTTATCTCAATACAGATGTTTTCGAGAGATCTGCCAGCCTTGTGGATAGCACCTGGCAGCCTAAGAAACATCTGAGCGGATGGCGAGCTCCAGCTTGTATCGGCTCGGAGGTATGAACGGTCATCATCCTCAATCCCAAAAACTTTGGATTTAATGATATCGTCGATAAGTATATCCTCGTTTTCAGAATATTCAAACAGGTATTTTGATCTTGAATAAAATTTTGAATAAAGGATGTAATCATAAAAACCATCAACTCCCCTGTCGCAAATGCGAAGTGCTTTTGCCCTTGGCATTCGAGCGACCGCAGTGCCAACGCCCTCCAGAAATACGTTCTCTTCTGATAGGAATTTTTGTTCTGCATGGAGATATTTATACCGCTCATAAGCTTTGCTCCAGAAGGTTTGACTCCAGCTTTTATTAGTGATACTGTCGCCCGATCCATATATACACCGCAGATATAACTCATCAATCATCCTGGACTCTTCTCCCTCGTCTACCGGAACTGGATGATATTCCACCGTCTCTAGAGTTTCATTCAAGTACCCTAACTTATGGTGACGGAAATTCTCAAAGCTATCGATCGACATGCGGTCCAAGCAACGAGTAATGACAGTTACTCTTCTAACACTTTTGCCGATAGTAGGATGACGAGAGATCATATCAAGGCGCGCAAGGGATTGTGCATCCAATTCAACACGCACGGTAGGAAGAAGAAAGGGTGAGGCGACATTGCAAAATCTTCGGCATACTAATCGTAGACTCTGGATCGTTTTTACGCTGTCTCCAAATTCCATATCCCGTTTGGCAAGCGATTCAAAGGTCATCCATGTCATCATTCGACCATGGAGGGTAGAAGGAGGCTCTCCGAGCTGTGGCTCTGCAAGAAAGCCTACAATCAACTCCAGCAACTCATCTGAAAGTTTGAAAAGTCTTGGCTGTTGGACGATTCCCCGGCGCGATAATAAATTGTCAAAGTTTGCGATAGAAGTATCTAGTGTGCTCACAATGCTTTCTCGTAGGTCATTTAAGGACGGGAAGAATCATCCTCGGCGCCTGCCTGCGCTCCACCACCTTCTCCAAGATCCGAACTGGCATGGAATCCTGGTTCTTTCGATCCAAAATCGAATGAAGTATCTCGCAAGGACTTGGATAACTCCAGTTCCGGCTGGCTCTCTATTGAATTTTCCATCTCAAAATTAGAATTATACAACTGGCGGTCGAGTAAATTGAGAGAACAAGTATCCGTCGTCGAACAAACGTCTTCGTTTCGAGACGTGTTTACAAACTTGTGAGATATTGACGAGCTGTCTCTTCGCAATGGTGTATTAAAAAGCTTTCGGGATGGCTACAGTGACAAGACAGGTACAGTGACCTGTAATTGATAATGTTCTTGGTAGGACTATCTATAAGGGAAGAAGTATATGTGAATTGGCTATGCGTTCCTCGATGTTGTCGTTCAAATAGATAATAGATTACAAAAGTTATATTAAGTACAACGATATGGGAGTAATACACTGTATGCTCTTAAATCAAGAAGTGGGAAGGACAGATCGTTTTATATATGAAAAAATTTGAACAGGAAGCTAAGAATCGAGCTATACAAAATAGTCTCCTTTCAGCGCGAGGAAGCCATCACTACCCACTTTAACACGTGCTCCTCCTCCTAACCCTACCCTAACCCTTAGATCGTCACTCCCCAATACTGCAATCTGGCTTGAACATGGTGGCTTCCTTGGGCGGATGCGACTTTGAACATTCGAATACGTCACCCAAAGATTTTCACTTGCCATCCGAATTCTGTTTACCTGTTATCTCAACTCACTTTTTGTCCTAACCCCCTCCCCTATTTTTGGGATACCCACTCGATGCGCCAGCAGACGACATCCCTCTCCGACTCACAAAGAGCCATTATATTTCAATGACTCCCTCAGTATGCAAAACGAATAGAACGACAGGACTGGAGGAAGTCAATGCACGATGGTTAGCAAATGACTCCTCACTGGACAATTCTTTCTAAACCAAATGGATTATTCGACACGACTTAGTGAAATGCGTCACGCCAAAGAGCAAATGACTCTTCGCTGAAATTTCCTTGTGAACAAAACAATTTGATTTCCCCCAAGTACTCTTTTTTCCCCTTCTTCCATACCCTCTTTACAAACACTCAACATTTACAGAGAACTAACAACAGATATCCTCACACCCTTTCCAATACAATAGCTTTCCAAGCACAAGTACAAACTCGGTATTCATCATGTCAACATCCTCTAGCAAGACCTCAATAAACATAAACCTCAACCACCTCGAGGGTAACTGTCTACGTCACCCGGTACTCACAGACCCCGCTGAAGCCATCATCACCGCTCGCTTCAACCACGGTTTCAACCCAGACTTTCCCATATTACCCCTATGCATGCACTCGAAAGACAGGGATGTGAACAAGACGCCAACGGAGCTCAGTAGAGATGACACCAACAAGGGTTCCAGTTTCTATTCCGAGGGGTGGGAATGGAATAAAGATGGGGAGGTTAGTTGGGCGGTACTCTCCGGCTGGTGCCCAGCGTGCAAAAAAGAGTACGAGGAAGATTTTCTCGAAGGTAATTCGCGCGTATTTTACATCACGGCTATGCTGCGTCGACACTGGATAATGGTAGGGGAAGAGAATAGAACGCCACGGGGAAGAGAGGAAGCAATGGAAGTAATCAGACAAGCCAGATCGAGAGTTGACAGCGAATACTACGATGAGGTTCGAATTTATAATATTGCCAAAACGAGAGTTTACACATGAACAAATTGGAGAGAGCGCTAGTCGAACACATGACGGCGAACAAGGAGACCATGGTGAGAACACAGGGTAGACTTTGAACATTTATATTGGAACAACAATCGAAGGTCAATTCTGGCCAAGCTTACGAGTCGCTCTACGCCTCGAGCAGAGATCCGGAAAACTACCGGATGTACGGCCCAACTACCTACCCGGCTTCCAACCCCCCTTTAACGCCAACCTACGTATCTGCAGACAAATGCCCCTCAACGTACCTCGGAGAACGGCGTTCACAACCTAGCAGCCTCCATAGAAGTCAAAGTTCTCACAAATCCGCGCACGGAGAGAGACAGTCCGGAGAAGCTCGCAGCAATAAGAGTGTAAAAGCTCACAATCAAACCATGCGTGCCTAAAGCTCATCCGAAATACCTCGCAGACACAGCAGTACAAGATCTCGTCGTCGAATCGAATCTGACATCGAGAATTGCGGAGCACCTCACACCAAGGGTAGTGCAAGATCTTCTAGTCCATCCAACTTTTAACCCCTATCAACCTATAAGATAGGCCCAGGTCCACTACCCAGCATTTGGATCATAAGATAAGAGGGCGGGGGAACCTTGATTAATATTGGGATTTCGTGTTTTGTTTATGCCTGGCTTTAACTTTCCTTATGTATACTTCTGTTTTGCGAGATGGGTCAAGCGGTGTGATGAATGCCTTTTACATCATGATGGACTGTGGAAACCCAAATTCATGTGTACACTTACCATACAATTTAAGCGTGATTTAAAGAAAGATTAAACCTGCTCTCATCTCCTTCCTACGTAGAGTTAGCATGGAGATTACAACATAAACGCCTTTGGCGGAACTTACAAGAAGAAATGCGATCCTATTATCGCTGCCAAAACCAGGCCCACAAACCCGGATTCCAAACTTATTCCATCGGAAGTTGTTACAGTTGAGGATGCGGAGCCTAAGCTCGAACTGCTTGTCGAAGTCCCAGTTGAAGTTGACGTTGCGTTATCCATACTCATGCTAAAAACGGGTGTTGTGGGACAATTTGCATCGTATAACGATGGATTTGCAGCATTTGTGCCAGTCTGGTTATTATATGCCAACCTAATGAGCGTATCCTCTGCGGCGTCATACTTTGGCCATCCGTAGTTCGTCAAGCCATTTTCAGGATTCTTGGCGAACGCAGCCCATGCGCCACGCATGTATTTTCCGATTGCTATCTGTTCGGTTGTCTCGGGAGGATTGGCAAGGTTTGTATCAAAAAGGAGGGGGATTTCGGCGGCATGCCATGCACCAGCATTAGGAACAATCATCGTGTTGGGAAAGGAGCCAAAGTAGCGATAACGCCATGTGTTAACATTGGCTTGGGTTGAGTAATTTGCGCGGTAACCACTCGGGCAAGTGAACCCGAGTAAATCGATAAGTTGGGCAGCTGCATCTGAAGTGCTGACTCCTTGAAGCGCATTTGCGGTGACAAATAGAACGGCTTCCTCATCATTGCTTCCAATTAAGAGGGGTTTACTTGTGAAGTTACCGGCTAAGGAGCGTTCAGTGTAGTTGGAGAACACGACAATCTCATCGACGGTGGGCAAGAAGCTTCCCAATATACCAAGAGATCCAGGGGAATCGGTGGTGGCAGATATCCCGCTGAGAATTTCCGTTGTACTTTTGGTACGCATACAACTAGTAACGTTACTAGCGGATGCGCCACCACATCCCAAAGCTTGGCTCACATTATACCAGGCTGTGGTGACATACTCAGCTGTGCTTGGCAGACCCCAACTCTGTGCTGTGCCAGACTCTTGAATGAGACCAGCAACAATGGGGTCTTGCACCCAAGCATAGTTGTAGAGATCGACCGATGCTGAACCAGCACTTTGTCCAAACAGAGTGATACGGGATGCATCACCACCGAAATTCTCAATATTATCACGAACCCACTCAACGGCCAGCCTTTGATCTAGGAGTCCCACATTAGCAGGACTGTCGGGGCTACCCGAAAACCCAAAAATGTTCAGTCGGTAACTAGTTTTCAATCAGCATAATTCAAGAGTCTGAGAAGCTTGAGGCTTTACTTGAAGGTTACCACAATTACATCCTCTTGTTCCACAATGTATTGTCCATTGTATGCTGGGGTAGCGGAAGCTCCACCACTGAACGCTCCTCCGTAAATCCACATTAATACGGCCTTCTTCGAATCACCAGTTTGTGGTTTTGTCCACACGTTTAAGGTCAAGCAATCCTCACTTTGTGCCGTTAGGTCTCCAAGTAGGTTCAGTATTCCCAACCCTGTTGAAGTAACATCTGATTGCGCGACGACGGTAGCATTATAAGTGGTAGTTTGGGCGGGACATGTATAGCCCTATCGTTGTATTAGCAATTGTCAAATGCCTTTAGGAAGTTCTACTTACAAAGCTGGTACCATTGATAGTCGAAGTACCATTGTACGCAACTGGCGCAGCAAATCTCAAGTCTCCAACAGGTGGTTTGGCAAACGGAATACCTAGGTACTCGGAAACTTGCGAGTTATTTAGACTGGGATGTCCATTGACTGGTCCACTGCTTGTCTGAACAGTTTGTCCGACGGTCCAATTCGACTGACGGCTCTCCAAACGAGCGGAGGCATTTGCAGATACTGCAATGGCAGAGATCGACAATATTGAAAGCTTCATATTGAAATAAAGAAGGAAACAAGGAAAGAGTGAGAGATGGTGATACAAACGGAGAGGATGAGAGGAGAGAACAATAGACGGATCACAAGTTAGGAAAAGGAAAGGCCATCTTATAAGAAAATGCTTACGACAGTCAGGATGATGTTTACCTGCATTTAGAATTCGACTACTGTCTACCTTTTGGAGAGAAGTTAGAGGCTACTCAGATCTAGGCAAAGGAGCCGTCATGTTCAGCATCTACGAGTAATGGCGGTAGTATGGTACATCGTATACTTCGTGTTGCGGCTTCCAAGTTCCCATGAGTGCTCTTGCCGAGACCACCTATCATAGTGGCTGGGCGTGCAGTAGTCTTATCTGCATGACGGGTCTAGCTGAAATGATCGTTCTTTGTCAGATGGATCAAATGGATGGTATCGTATGTGATTGGATGGCATTGGAGGAAGTGCTCCAACGCTAGTCACGTGTCGCGCTTGCACATCAGACACCTTGGTTGACCTTACTTTTTTATATGTTTTAAAGTGCGTGCGGGCGTGTCAGAAACCTTGATTGCTTCTCGATGTCTTTTGTACTACGTTCGCTGCCAATCTTTGTGTTACCCGCCCATTGATATCGAAGGATGCCGTCATGATTGTTAAAAATACACATTTATTGAGTTTATGTCGATGTTACTTTGCACGAGTAGATGATAAATGCGGTCTCGTGTTTTACCCATCACCCGTGCGCCAAGAAAATCAAGTCTGTCCCAGTCTAACGACAACTATAATCCATTTTCCAGCGCTCGAGCGAACGCCTCCACGTTGTTCTCTCGTTTGTTCTCGTCGCTCGCTTTTATCCCTCTTATATACGAGCTTTATCTGAGCACCGAGCTATTCGTGGGTTGACACTAAACCCCATTATCTACTAGCACACGGAAGGAAGGAGCCAGCCTCCGCTAACGAGATGTTAAATCCATCCCCGATTGCGGGGGTAGCTCTCCTTTCAAAGTTTCAATGATCGTTAATTGACATCTATAATTTTTAATTGTTCTAAGATAACAATGTACCGAGCAATAGTCAACTGGCGCTCCATACCGGTAGGTTGGTTATTGATGTTGATTAGGATCTTACATGTCATCTCGCAAAGTAAGTGCTTAATTGTCCAGAGACATGGGAATGATATAAAGAAGAACTTCTATGTTGCAACAGACTGATTTTTCTTTACTCCTTATCACATGATACACAACAGAACGCTTCGATGAATTCCGGTCGCAAAAGAAAGAGAAAAAGAAAAGAAAAAAGAGTTCATCATCCCGGGGTTTCCTTGATCAATATATAATGCATCATTTCGGGAACTTGTGAAGATCCAACCTCCCGTAACACAAGATCCGCGAAGCAACTTTATCCGAGATTTTTCTCCGCCGACAACTTCAAATCGGATGCTCGTTTTGAGCATTACTATGGACTCTTCTCACACCGCAAGTCACAGCCCCAATAGCCATCATCAAAGAATCGGGATTCACGCATTCACTTCCATTCGTGATCAAATTATCCACAGGAGAGTCATCTTGTAGATTCACAAACCTAGTCATTCTATTCTTCAGCAGATTGCGATGTTCACCCAAGAGCTCAATTCTCCTTCACCCGTACCTGTCCCGTATATTTGACATGTAGCATCCTACAGAATCCATCACAATACCCAGCTGATATCTCAAACATCGGAAATCTATGAATATCATCACCCTCGTGCATACTGTTAAACTTCAATGCTCCCCCTAGACTGATCACCATCCTTGTTGACTTATTTGACTGACTCCTAGATTCCCAGCTCTCGGCTTGTATTCCCCCCATACATGTCCATCCCATTCATATCCTTCTCCCATCACCACAACCACAATACCAACACCAACCCTCAAATCTGTCACTCCAATCTCATCACTCTATCCTCATTATTTTATCCTCATCACTCCAACCCCACCACACCACACCATCCATCCCTATCCCATTTACCCTCAACAAAAAGCTCCTCATTCCAAACTTCCATCCAATACGCAAAATCCCCCGAAACTTCCTCTACCAAGAAAACACCACCAATACACAACCGAGCCAACCGACTCATATACATACAAATTTCAAACACCAGAATTCAAATCAAAACACTAAGTCTCCTCTGTCGCGAGTGAGATCCAATCTAAATATTCATATCACTTCTATAAGACTGATATCACACCATACTCCTATCCTCATATCTCGCGATGGATTGCGTAAAGTCAGATCAAACATCCATTATTTTATCCTTGAGGACGGTAAACAAAACGAAGGCAATACCGCAACTATACCGGGTTTACTCTCACAGCATTGTACAAAAGAATCCGCAGCCATCTCAATTTTCCCTGTATTCTATACACCAATCCCGAACCCGGAATTACAAACCCTAAATTACAAGATCTGATCTCTCCATTCTTCCTATTCCCTCCACTCTCTGAATCACACCCCACCACACGCGTTACTCACCCAGAAACCCTCTACTCAGATTTCTCCCCCTTTCCCCACTAACAGCATCCAATCTCACAGCCACCAACACACATTCCCACTCCGCCTTCCCACTGACCAAAGCCTGTCCTCCCACTCCCACTCCCATCCTCGCTCCTTGCACAGCACCCCCATGATTTTGAACCCTCAACCTCCACTGTCCCGATTTCACAATCCAGCTTTCATCTTTCATTGATCCTGGACCTACATCCATATTTACCGGAAGCGCAATCCCATCTCCTATTCTCCTCTTCTTGCTACTTCCTTGACCACCCACACTAGAATTCTCATCTGTAGCCCCATTCAAATCAACCACCTTCCCATCACACACCACCCCACAGTCTTCTCCAACAACCAATCTTACCATCTCCTCACTCAGTCCACTCTTGCCCGGACTAGCTGGCTCGCTGCTCGCGCCACCATTTTTCATCAATAATCCCAAGGGCTGCTTAACTGGCAAATTGAGTTTCGTAGCAACCACCTCCAACAATCTACCCATCCGTATTTTCGTTTCTCCGAAAAATTCCAAGCGCATAGTATCCCAGTGAAGCAATGTAGCCGAATCACCTATTTCGAGAACAAGCTCGGAGGGCGATGAATCGGCAAAGGGGCGTTGATAGTTTACGTATCCTACAGATGATGTTGGGGATGGGTTTGAAGAGGTGAGAGGTTCAGTAGAGGGAGCAGTAGATGGGGATATATTTGTTAGGACAGAGAGGCCAGATTGTCTGATATCCGCGAGTCGAATTGTAATTTCTGATTTTTTGCGCAGTAGATTATAAGAAATGGAATAAGGAATCAATTTTTGTTCAAGACCTTTAAGATGGAAATATCGACAATCCCGTAAGAGTTCAGCACGATGTTCTGGACTACGGATTTCAAGTGGGTAGCCACGGAGAAGATGAAGAATTTCGGAAAATGTCTTTGAAGAGCGGTTGGGTACTGATGGGGGGAGGATAGATGGTGGTCGAAGAAGACCTTCTCTACTTAGGCCGGGAAATATCTCAGTAGGGGAGCTGAAGAAGAAGAAACTGAAGCCCAGGGAGAAGTAGTTTGGACTGTTTCCGGGATCAGAAAATATCTCGCGAGGAAACTGGAATTCTCGATCTCCAACTGTTATGAAGATATTTTCTTCATAGAGCTGAGAAATCAACCTTGGTACTGTCTCATGTTAACTAAAATCGACAAGTAAAGGGGAGGGAAAGACGAACATGAATAGAATTGAGCATCGGCAAATAATTTAACAAAATGACTCGCATCCCTTGGTGCAACATGGTATCCTTGCAAATGAAGTGATATATCTTTGAACGTAATGGGATCCCGATCGATATAAAGGGTCCTGATAGCTGTATTTGGATCTTCTCCTCTCTCTTCCGCTGACCTCAATTGACATTGAAAATATTGGGAAAAGTATGAGGGTGCTCTAGGTTTCTTAGCTGGTGTTCTCATTCTGAAATTTCTTGTCCATCCAGAATCTTATCCTCAGCAAGAAAGTGCAAAGAAGGAAGAATACATACCATCAGAACTCAAACTAGCACCACTCAACCGAAAAAGTTCCGTCCCGATTTGAATCGGGAAAACCTTTTCATGGGGTAAGAAATTCGGAATGTCTGGATTCAAAATTCTTGCCTCTGCATTCCTCAGTATTCCAGGAGGGTCTGCCATTCTTGAGGCTCCTGATGGACCTGAAGCACCCGGCGGTGTGCCTCTCGCAAGATTCGCCTCTCCGACGCCATTGCTTTGCGCCATCGTGGCTCTCTGATCCATACTTTCAATCCAATTATCCCAGCTCTTGCTCTACCAACCCTTCAAGCCTACAAATCCACAACGTATGCCTGAACTGTGTTTCCACGCAGAGACAATTGTCCAAAAGTTGCACGTGATCAGAGTGCCGGAAAAGAGATTCCTTGGGCTAAGATAATCCGTGAATATAATCAGTAGATGCACGATTGCCGCGTAATTTCAATTGATGAAACGAGGGTTATCTTTGAATTGCAACAACAGAACGTCTCGTTCGGTGTGTTGATCCTGCCTGGTGGCTTGAGACAATGGAAATGAAGCTCAACTCGGAGATAAAGCTGATACGCTAGCCTGAACTAGAAAATACCCGATGACAGATCACATGACTCACACATTGCGTACGACTGTCTCATCATCTTTCAAGGTTTCACTACATCATGGAATGAGATCTAGCAGCATTTAAGGCGGCGGCATTTCCGACGATCAACTTGTCAATTCTGGATGTCATGTCTCAATGTGCAAAGACTTCAAGGCTAAGTGTTTAAATAATTGCATAGAATTGCTTGAATTGCCCATTCAATTCATAAATTCTCCTCACCAGTCAGTCTATGGTTCTAATCTGACACGACCTTGTCCATCTAAAGAAAATGTGGAAGCTAATATAGCAAGCACATTCTTTAGCAAATATATCATACAAATTCGTTATCATTTTGCCAATCCATGCATCAATTACAAGCAAAAATATTCGGGTATAGTATGTTTGACTCCCGACCCTGTAATAAAAAGAAATCTAGCCCCATCCAGTCTGTATTCTGTTACGTCGTGCTCTACCTCTACTCTTCTTCATCTTCGACATTCGGTCGACTACCACCTGTAGTTCCACTTCTCGCTCGGCTTGCTGGTGCGCTACCGACTAAAGTCCGACCAGGAGCAGCTTGTGATGTGTTGCTAGCAGTCGAGTTGGAAGCTACACCGGCAGATTGTTGTCCTACTGAATATGATGGGTATAGTGATGTCGACGATGGTATACCAGCCCCATCGGGTCCAATTTGGCTTCTATTCGAAGCAACGGATGCGTTACGTCCGAGTTGACCAGATAAATTTACAGGGAATGGTGCATGTTTTTGATAACCACTTCCACTACCATATGAAGAATTGTACTCAGTAGAACGTGAAGCACCTTCATTCATGAAAGAATTTCCATAAGTTCCTGATCCTGAAGGCTCGTCTATTGTAACGCTAAAACCAGGAGATGACTGGAATGCATTCGGTGGTAGATGTTCTCCAGGCTTTCGTCTACCTCGGGTGCTTGCTCTCTTCATCAGAGATGTCTTTTGATTGCTATATTGGTGGTCGAAATTATTTTCTCCCAAGGTCGACATATCATCGTTGTCGTTGTAACTGTTACTATGTGCAAAGTCTAAACCAGGGCGTCTTGCATTCAAATGTTCCGCGGCCTCTTCCTCAGTATCTATTGGACCAAGATCTGGATTTGTATTTTTCAGAGTTTTCGTGGGTATGAGACGCTTTGAGTCTTTGGTGGTTGATGATTTATCCCGTGCTTCGGCGGCCCATTCATCTGTTACAGAGACAGAGTAGTTGGGGTTAGCAGGTCCACCGAGAGCATCTCCACCACCTCCAGGGGCGTTGATTGGAATCTTGCGCAAGGCCAAAACAAGAGCACACATGAATTTGGAGCGACGAGCAGCGCGAACTGTTTCGTTATGCCAATTAGATTTATGTCTGATTTCGACCTTGAGTTGAAGCTTGTCCATGTTTCCAATGCCCACAGCCTCCAATACAATGTCCGATTGAAAGTCACGAGCATTGTCTGGATGACGAACAAAATTTTCCATTTCTGTGCGTAGTAGTTCAATATCCTCGAGAGTGGTGTCAAAGGAAATGAACATGTCGAGTTGTTCTTTCATCGCCTTGCTACGAGTGATGTTCTCGACCCAAAGGTTGTTGAGGACAATGTTAGGTACCTGTACCATCTTCATGTTGTCGATGCGTTTGAAAATGGTAAAAAGTAAGGAGATTTGTTCCACAACAAGATATTCGGAACTGATATCGACGCGATCACCGACATCGTATGGATGTTTGACGAAAAGGAAGATACAAGAACCAAGGAACTCCTGGGTAGTTGCAGCGAAAACGAAAGATAGAGACAAGAGAGTTGTACCGGCAGTTGTCAATGTGGCGAGGAAACCAGTATCTTGGAAAGCAACTATTCAAATGATTAGAGTGTGACCCTGCGGTTGAAATTTTGAGCTTGAAACTTACTGTAGGCGAAAATAACAATAATGAGAACGATAATGAGTAAGACCTGATCAAGAACACCAATGGCCTGTCCAACGTCTCTCATGCTGTTTGCAATTGATTTTCGGTCGCGGCCAATATCCACTACTTTCATGATCATCTCATCAAGAGAGATATCGCCATTTCCATCATTATCCAAAGCTTCAAAAATTTCCTCGGCTTCCATCTTGCGACCAGCGCCGAGGACCTCTTCGAGATCTTCTGCAGATAAAGAATCCTTGCCTTCCACAACGAAAGACATCCATAAACGTCTCGCCAATGCCTCGGAGGATTTGGTTTTCTCAAGTGCTTCAATAACGACAGAGTGAGCAGAATTGGGGTTGAAAACTTGCTTTCCGGTAATCTCAGATGCAATATTTCCAAATACTGAGGTCACTTTATCACCAAAACGGCCAATGTCTCCGATAAGCTTCATTGGCGTATTTGAACCGGATCTGTTATGCCCCAATAGTCTTCTGTTCGTCTTTTGAAGGACGGCTTCGATACTATCACTGATGATGTAGTCTTCTTCTGCAAATTCGGGGCAGTACATTGGAAACAGAGTTCGGGATGCTTCGTAGAGGAGACCAAGTAAGTGGATAAGGTGCTTTGATTCTTTGATACGCCCATCGAAAGAGCGTCGGTGATAATTGACACTGATCAATTGGACGATGAGTTTCTCCACCAAGAGTAAGATTGTAGAAATCAAAGTAGGTACCAGAACACGCTTCATCGTGTTGACCCATGGATCCATGGTGCCATCATAGTCTTTGCCATTTTTGTGCAGCTTATTCAAATCTTTAGTCGTCAAAGCCGTGAAGGTGACCAAGCTGGTAATGGCCCATCCAACCAAGGATAATGGAATTTCTAAAGCTCTCAAGATAGTTGCGTACTTTCGAACGCCAGTGCTGACAACTCCGCACAAAAACATGAAGATGTATGGTATGGCTTTAGAGCATAGCTTCGAAACCCAAATACTAAGCCAGATAATCTCAATCCAAGTGAAGAACAAGTATAATTTCATTTTTCCAATAGTTGCCGTTGGGTACAAGACAGCGAAAACAACGATTGGTACTGCGAGTATTATACCAATTGGCGCAACGTAGAACATGTAGCGAGTGACCACGGAGAAATTAATGATTGTGTTGTAAAATCTGCCCAAGCCATTGACAGAAACCTCCTCTCCGTTTGTTCCTCTTCTCGAGGGATGGACTTTCCTCCTGCCGGCTATTCCTCTTCTAAACATTCCTTGCTTCTCATCTTCTTTGCCAGAATCATTTTCCGAGCTTCCTGCCAGTATTCCTTCGCCAGGCTTTCGTGCGCCTGTGGAAGAGGCTCCAGTTCTCACTTGTGTGAGGGGGATGTTTTCGGTCATATCGCCGCCGTCTATGGGCTGAAAGCCACGCCGCGAGAAATCTGTTGGTGATCGAGGGGAACGAAGTGACATTTAATCGAAAAGTAGGGTGTTGGTGTGGAGAAAGCAAGTATATAATCGCAGATCTTTCTGGAGATCTGAGATTGAATCAGTGGCGGGGGAGATAAGATTCCTTGTGGAATGTTGCTCGTCTCAAATTTCAAAAGTAAATTAGAAATACCTAATAATAATAATAATAGTAATAATTGGCCCAAATTGTGCAAGTGGTGAATCTCAAGAGAGAATCTTAGCAACTCTCAATCAATTGATAGTGTGCGAAACGAATGTATGAAATCAACTGATTCAATGGATGGCCGTCATTCGTATAATAACTCGCGTCGAGCGTGTTCGAGGGGTTTTGATCAACAATGCGAAGAATAATCAATGGGGCAGAGAGTATTCTGCTAGTTCCAACGGAAGAATTGGAACCAACTATTTCAATAATGAAATGAAGGAAACAAAAGTTCAAAAGGTTGAAAGAAAGAAAGAATCACGGTTGAATGGAGTCTATTAAAAGAATTGAAAGAAGTTTTCTTCGTAATAGAAATTCGATTCGTGCGTATCGATTTTTTTTCTCTTCTATGCCGTTTCTTGAGGTAATGAGAGATCTAAGAGCAGAAACGGGACATACGAGGTAAAGATTGACAAGAAGAGAGGAGACCGAAAGAGCCCTTGTGGAGAAAGCTGAAGATATGTAAATCTCGTCCCTTGAGCAGAAGAAAAATGGAGCCAAAGTCGAACAGGTCGAAAGGGACGAAAAGAGTCGATAAGTTATTATAAGTTGAGTTTAATTCTCTCTCTCGACCTACCTGGTAGCTACATACCATATCTACCCAGGTAGGTAGCTAGGACCTAGATGCCATCTAATAATATTCTTGATTGATACTGGGGTTCAAGTTCAACATTTGGTCTCAAGGCACGGAACATGATCAAGGGGGTAAGGACCACAAGAGGGGGTCAAGAATGGTCGAGAATGCAAGGTACAGATAGCCGTCCATCACGATCCATGGTCATGATAGCCAATAGGCATTTCCAACGGGCCACCACGGCCACCACGGCCATCCAGAAATACGAAACACCAAACACCAAGAAATAAGGCTTACTCGGTACAACGATTCAACCTCTAATATGGTCGTTCGAGAAGACTAGCGTGCTCATCCATCCTCCTGAAAAATAAATTGACCACACAAAGAGAGAGACATCTGGGACAAAAAACGAAGAATGTGTAAAGAACTGCTCAGGTAGGCAAGCGGGTAAACTTTCTAATGGCCTTACGGGTTTCACGATGGGGGGGTTAAGGGGCTTCCTTGGTAATATTGTACATTAGTCACTTCGTATACGGGACATGCAATGATGATCATGAACTAGGAGAAGAATTTTGCATGTGTCGTATGTGCAGGTAATTGGTACATCTTCAAGATTGAGAGAGTAGAAGTGTGATGGTTCTCAAAGTCTTCGTATGCGGTACTTCATCATCATGCCTCCTCGCCTCCTCGTGTGTTGTGACTCGTCATGATCTTGCTCCATTGTCCACGTATAACAAGTCCGAGTCCAAGTCCAAGTCAAGTCCAACTTCCGCGATGTGTTCTGCAATGTACGACTTTACGACGTACCGGTATTCTACGATGTACAGTCCGTCTCCATTTTACCCAAATCGAACCTAAGAAAAACAAACTACTGAACAGTGCGGATCTCCCAATGTACACAGCCGTTTCCCGATCAAATCACGAGTTGGACACGCCGATGATATACATTTTTGGAAGGAAAATGTGGGAAGTTTGGTAGATCCGTCGACCATCTCAGCCACTACTTTGGGAGCATGACGATAGAGGCTCCAAAATTATCGTGATCTTTGGAAATAATGCTCCATCCAGTGTGTTGGATCGTGGAAACTTGGATGGAACACAACCCCAGAGTCAAGTGTAATATCTTGGAGTATGTACATCAGTGGAAACATTTCTTAAATGCTTAACAAACGAAGTACAATGTAAGAGTTGAGGCCCCGGCTTATCGCACACCACCCTTTTTCGTGACAAAATCCCTACAAAAAAGTCGTTTTCCTATACAAACTTATTTCTTTTATAATTTATTTTATGATTGAAAATTGATTCAAAAATCTCTTATATAAGAAATTGCTATATTTGAAATCTTAAAAAATAAATGAATTATTTTTAGTATTTTTTTTCATATAGTTATAAGTTTTCAAAGTTGGAAATTTTCAAAATTTATTACATATAACGCTTTTCCCATACAAAAAATCGATTTTTTTGAAATTTTTAGAAATTCTAATTTTGAAAACCTATAACTATATCAAAAAAAATACTAAAAATAATTCATTTATTTTTTGGAATAATTTGAATAATTAATTATGATATATATCAATTTTAATAATTTAATTTTTATATTTATTGAAATAATATATATTTTAAAAGTTAAAGAAATGAAGGTTTTTGGTGTGTTTTCGGTTAGTGTGCGATAAGCCGGGGCCTCAACTCTTACCAGACAGAAAAGAAGATGCAAATTGTGCTTCTATCATTCTAGAGATGGTGTGTATATTGCTACACATACCTATAATTCACTCCATTAATATAACCTCTTTCAATCTCAGGTACTCCATGTACTTTGTACTTTTAATATCTATGCATAATGATAATCTCATCAAATCAAGCCCGCATGCAATCAATCTACGGTATGGATGCTTCATGATAATAAATCCTTATCTTGAAAATCATCCTTCGAATCCAAGCCACCACTTGCACGACCTCCCGGTCTCAACGGTGGATTCTTCGAAAGATTGTCCCTTCTCGACCATCTCGACCACAAACTTCCAACGCTGTCCACTTAACTCACCACCAACTCATCAACCATTACGTTGAGGATGGTGCGTATCACCAACAACACTATTCGGTGCCTCCTTCCTAGACTTTTAGTCACCTACCCTCGCCAGGCTCATCCTCGCTATTGCGTTCGTTCTCGACCACTTTGAACACATAAACAGTGACATACGATGAATCCACAACTCGTCTGGTCTTAAAGTCCTAAACAAGCAAAACCCCTGGCATAAAGTTTGTTTGCTGCGTGGATGCCATGCTTTACCGAAATAGAAAAATTTTGTTCAAAAGGTTTTTATCTAGTAAAATCTTTTGTGTCCTTAGAAAAATGTGGTCCCATGCCTGTATCATCTCGAGATCATTTTCGCAATGCCAAGGAATCCCACTCCGCTCCGTCTACCTAGGTAGATTCTTATCGATAAACTCCTGATCAAAAAGCCGATGATAATTGACAACCCTCTTTGCAAACCCACCAAATCAATACTCAACAGCCAACAACATACACAACCTAGATCCAAATCTAAGAATGAAGCTCACATGCGACCCAGCCCGGGCCAAAACCCTCATTTCAGCTTTCCATTCCGTCTCTGAACGTGTCACCAACGCCGCAGGAACCAGAAATGTATGTTCATTGCCCCTCACCTGCATGAAACCATCCATCCCTACACGTGCTCTTCTTTCGCATCCTTCCAACGGTTCTTTCTGTTCATCTATCTATATCTGTTTTGTACCATCTACCCACAAGTATACTGACGCAAAAGCTAGGTAAGATTAGTAGCCGTATCTAAACTCAAGCCAGCAACAGATATCCTTGCTCTCCATGAGCAAGCAAATGTCGAACATTTCGGGGAGAACTATGCACAGGAGTTGATGGAAAAGGCGGAGATCCTACCGAGGAGTATTAAGTGGCATTTTATTGGAGGGTTACAGAGCAGTACGTCTAATTTTTCTACACACACTTCTGTGCTCTAAAAGTTGTATTCGTCTGAAAATATCAGCGAGATGCTGGTCAGGATGAGTCACATGATAGTTTTGAGAGATAGATTGTGGATGCTTTTACACTTGAGTAGGCTTCAAAATCCTGTCTAGACTACTTCCACAGTCCTTATCGTCTCACATGTTCTCAAACCCTCCCACTAACTTCATTATAAGATAAATGCAAACCTCTCGCCTCCACAGTCTTCAACCTCCACCTCGTTTCCTCCATCGATTCCCAAAAGAAGGCCTCCCAACTATCCCTCGGACGCTCTCTTCTCCCTATGCCCGCTGATTCAAACTCAAAACCCTCCCCCTTGAACATCCACATTCAACTCAACACTTCAGGTGAATCCTCGAAATCTGGTGTTTCACCTGGGAAAGACACCACCGAATTATGCAAATACGTCATTGAAGAATGTCCGTACTTAAAATTAGTGGGACTTATGACTATTGGCGCGATAGCTAGAAGCCATATGAAAGAAGGCGAGGAAAATGAGGATTTCAGAGTGTTGAGGGAAGAGAGAGATAGAGTTGAGAAGGAGTTGGGGATCGAGGGGTTGGAATTGAGCATGGGTATGAGTGAGGATTTTGAAGAGGTGCGTTTGTTTCCTTTCATACTTCTAATCTTCTTATTTCCTTTTTTCGGGAGATTTTATTATGATATAAGAGCTAATTATCCAATAGGCAATTCGACAAGGGAGCGGAGAAGTCAGAATCGGCAGTACAATATTTGGAGAAAGACCAGCGAAACAAGATTTCAAGGTCAAAGAGGGAGTTGAAGAAGAGAAATCTTAGTAGTATATTTTCTGTTCGAGAGAATATTTCATTCTTACTCTCCTATATTTTATGAGTACAGAAAGACTCTTTGCGTTGCGCCTACATTGCAAACACCAGTCATATAATCGGTGGGAAACATGCGAGGATCGCGACTTGTAGTTTGTCTGCAAACTTAGACCTTGAGCGGACGAACATTCAATTGAACATAAATGCCAGTCACTACTTGCTTGATGTCACTTGTAAAGCCACCTTGAGATAGATGCTAATGCATGACATGAATTCGTCAACATGTTTCACTTGAGCGATCCGTGCAGAACATGATGCTTTCCAATGCAACAGTACCGAGTAAAATCAATTCCATTTCATAAAGTCATAAACAAGCTAGGTAACCAGCGTAATGCACCCATCCAATTGTTCCCCATCCAACACGAGTGGGTGACGCATTCCCCACTCGCTCAAACCAAACCCCAAACCCCGCAAAACCCCAAAAATAAACTCATCGTGCGCCCTTTACATCCATCTTGAGTCCTCATCTCCTACTGGAAATGCTATCTAGCAACAACACTCCAAACATTCAAAACAGGCCAACCCGGCACAGATTCCACAACACAATCCTCCATTTCCCCCTCCGCCGCGCTGGTGCACGGGAACACTTCCTGCAGCGTGTGCGCTGCCGGAGGCGTGGGAATCGGTGCTGCTGGTGCGGGACAGGGTGCCGGTGGGGGTGGGTGACATGGACATGTTGGCGTGTTTGGTCTTGGGGGAGTTAGTGTGGGTTTGGGTTTAGGTTTAGGTTTAGGTTTAGGTTTAGGTTTGGGTTTGGGAGGCAGAGAGGAAGGAATATGAGAGTGGGAGATGGAGATGGAGATGGAGATGAAGAGGGAATGAACGTACGGGTTCTCGCATTTCGAATCCTTGGCCTTTGGCGTTGTAGGCAGCGGGTGGTTGTCGGATCATGGCTGGGTGGAGAGTAGTGCGGGGATTTGTATTTGTGGCGACGACCATGTTTTTGGATTTGTTTTCTGGATGGATGGATGGATGGATGGATTTATTTAATCTTAATTCGATTTAATTGTATATCATCCGAGACTCAGTTTGATGATTGGACTTTGATAGATTTTTTGTTTGCGTAGAAGAAGATGGAGGAATTTCGTGGTACGGTTGAGAGATCGTTAAATAAGGAAGAGAGATATCGTAGATACAATTCCAATCACACACGAGGATAAAAAAAAATCCAATAGTAAGCAAACACCACAAAGCCATTCACTCACCAGGCCCCAAGCACTCTTATACCTCCTCACCCTCCACAGCCGCAGCACCCGGCGATCCTTCACAGGTTCATCCATCCACCCCCAATATAATCGTGATGTAAGCCTTTACGTGTGATACAAGCCCGACACACTTAGCCGCTTGGCGGCCTGCAGCGGTATCCTCGTTCTTTCGAGCTGCAAGTAAGCAAGCATGACATGCTTACTTTTCGCATGCGCAGCTGCGATTGGCGGAGAGGGGGCTTGGTTTCTCGCATGCTTGTGCATGCTTTGATCATGGTTGTTGAGAGTTTTTTGCGCCGTGGAGAGATTCTGCAATGGGTAGGATCGTACGAGGATCTTGATGGCTGGGGTTGGGGTGGGATCTCTGATTTTATTAGTGGGTGCATTGATTTATGAATGGATGGATGTCTTTGAGAAGGAAGCGCATTTCTAGAGCTGCGGAATGGATTGGGAATTTGAGTTTTTTTTGTGCGGTTGTATTAAGATTTGCGTGGGGAGTTTATCGAGTGTGGAAATGGATATTTTCGATATCTATACTCCGTAGGTATATTGAGGAATCATTGGGGTTGGGAAGTAAAATCTTCAATACTATCTAGGTAGGTATACTTTTCTTTCGAATGTCCTATCCGTCCATGTCCCCACTAGTACCTATCGTAAGTTTATGCTTTAGGAGTTAGCGCGAGGTATTGAAACGGTTTGTGCAAGGTCCTCTTAGTTTGGATGAACTGCAAGTGAACGAAAAGAAGAAAAGGTTTTGTTTGAGATATGCATACTGGATGTGTGTAGGTAATTAAAGAGCATCCTATCCTGCGCATTCTCGCAAACTCGCAAACGCTGCGTCTGGCTGCTTCTTTGGACCGCGAGCGAATATCACTCACTACATTGCGCTAGCTGCAGGGCTGAGTCGGACGTATCGGCATGCCTAACTAGCATCGGTAGCCGGAAAAGCGGGGCCTTGAAGGTTCTGGATGCGATGTTTGGGTTGGAAAAAGATGATTCTATTCTATTAATGTAAGGTTTTGCAAGATAGTGTATCAATATAAGTCTGAAAGTTCAAAGATTAAAGTTACTAGAGAGCTTTCTATGGGGGATTAGCGAACTCTCCCAATGTTCTCTGACTGCTCTACCGAATATTCATAAGTCGTTATATCATGCATTTTATTATGTCCACGATCAGCTCTCAATTTTCTATGATTTTGAGCTTGTTGGATCGACTATTATCTTGCTACGTATCTATTAGAGTTCTGCGCGCATTCTTGAATGCTCGTTAGTTTCCTAATTCTATTTTCCCCGTGCTATCAATTAGTTTTATCCATTCGGCGCAAAACTCAAGCCTCGTCCGTGTCGAGAACTATATAATAACGTCCTTCTCAAATTCAAATTGGCACCAGATGATCTAGAGGTAAGAATACCGAGATTTCTATTTCCAATAGACTCTACACGATAAAGCTCCGATTGAGCTTTGGAGGTTATGGTTATCTCTCCCATACTTTCTATAATTGGAAGCTAAGACTTTCTATCTATCCATAGTCTACGGTCGTTGCATCCGGAGCTCGAATACTCGTAGTATAAGTTCCTTTTGTCAGGACCTCGGGCTCTGATCAACTGTACCTCCCGGCTTCTGTAACTCGGTATGTGAATGTTCGAGGCTCAACTGATCAAAGAGGGGTAACGATTGAGAGAGCGGTTGGTTATTTCCAATCGATGGTAGTCAGAGAGCCTTAGATTTCCCAAATGATACTGAGTAGGAGGTTTCTGATCTTAGAACACAGGTGGAACGACGAGGGAATCGGAAAATGGTTGAACAAGTATGATCAGGTAGGTAGACCATATGTACATGTTGGCTGACTCTACACGTTCAAAGATCTTAAATCATACTAGGTAGCCCAACAATTAGAATCCGCTTCAAATTTTGAATAATTTTCGCGATCGTTTTGAATAATCGCGGGGTGAAGAAGAGAGTAACTGAATATTTATCAGCGAACTTGTGAAGTATGATATAGATATTCGAGAACTTATCATCGATGAATGAAGAATATTGTGAGGAGTGTTCAAAGGTTCTTATGCTTAACTTTCAAAAAGGTTCAAAAAAGCAAAGAGACTTTTAGACAAGTATATGTGGACGAGTGTACTTACAAATACCTAGGTATCTGGAGGTGAAGTTAGAATCCGTTGTACGCCTTCGGAATCTTCAGATCATTGTGGATGTACAGCACTTGATGATCTCGGCTGAGAGATGGAATGAGGTTAGAAAGACGACCGCACTGTAGCTAGAACTGCCAGAGTTTCGGTGCCAAACTCACCAAGAATGGTATACATTTTAGGGTTGTAGATTAGATAGGATGGTTATATCACGATCATTCATATAACACCATTTGACCTGACAGCTAACTTCTCGACAGTTATATAAATATTACATGATTACTTTCTTATATGATCTGAATTTTTTATAATAAGATGGTCTGTATGATTCAAATCTCTATCATCTTTGATATCACAGTTGACAAAGAACAAAAGCAATTGACCGACGTGATCTGACAGTGTATTATGATCTGCGGGTCGTTCCACAATCCTAGTACATGTGCAATTGTTGTCAGGATCATCTTTGGCTTTCGTTTTCCTGTGATTCTGAATTTTCTCATTTTTGAAAGTATCTATCTATCATGATACATCGCCCAAACGGATGCCAATTCGCGCTCTCAGTAAGGCTAATTTACCAAAGTGTAAAGCCGCCTAGTATCTTGTTTTGGGAAGAGGGGGGCAGTCTCTGGCACCATTTTCCAAGCGTTGGCACTGCCAGGTAGACTATGGACCGACAACCCGGCTCAGATCCAGTGGTTCATATCTGACATCACGACTTTGAGCTCTCATATCTGAAGCTCACTGATGTGGAGAAAATGATTCTCATTCCAGAGGTTGCTCGGAGAAGAGCGCAAACCAACTGAAGAACCGGAAATAGTACGCATAATGAGACTGATGAACTGGATGTTCAAGAATATGCAGAGTGTAAAACAAAGACTTTGCACGATGGAGTATTCGAGAATACCTCAAAAAATCAGAAGCTTTAAGCTGTCCGAATAAAACAATGACTTTTTTGCAGAGAACTTCAACAGGCTGGTATTTCTCTTCAGCAGCAGCATAGATCGCACCTCAGATTTACTATCGATGTCAAATTCCACACAGTGAAATTTGTACTTCGAATGGAGAGCTTCCCACAGATCGTGGCCAGACATCTGTACACGTGTGGCAGTCGAATGGCCCGTAATATTCACTGGGTAGTCTTTCAGATTATACCAGTCACAAACACCATTAGAGCGTTCATTTTGTGGCTGCAGGATGTATCGTGCTATATGCCTCAAAGCGAGTATCGAACGCTCCCTCCCACGAGGGGTTGATATCGTGCCAGCCCATGGTTTTGTGGCCCGTCTCAGCACCAATGAGTTACTAACCCTTTCGATCCTCCGATTTCACTCTGTCCTTGGAAGACAATATTTCAGAATTGTCTGCCATCTTGGTGAGTTGAACATTTATTCTTCAACACTTTGGACATTACGCCTTGATTCTTCAACAGTATCTGCACAACGAGTACCCATTCTTCATGTATGCAGGTAAGCGACAGCCCTTGGTAACATGTCCAGGGTAATCCTTGACAACGTTGTAAATTTTCAACGCAAACAGTATATACTTAGGGTTAGAAGCATTGTCGATTGTGCTGTATGCTGTTTTATAGCCTATAGCATTCCTGAATTCGTTCACTTCGGAGGCAAGCTTTTGCCAAACGATTTTTTCATCGTCGTTTGATCGTTATTCTCCAACGGGTAAGTGTGTGAGACTTCATGCATCTGATTAATTTGTGTAACGCGCCTTTCGGCGCCGTACAACAGATTGGTACATGTTGAGCCATTCGTTGAGTAAATGATAGGGAACTTTTGGCTGCATCACAGCCCTGTGTCACCAATGTGTAACCGTGGATATCGTATAATTATAGATGAGAGGTTCCGGACTGAGGAAAAGAGGCAGCCCAATGAACCTCGTTTTCCAAAGACTTTTGGATATAGACTCAAAAATTCCGATCCTGGTACCAGTTACCCATTCCTTTGCAAAAAGAACTATCTTTCGCTCAAGATCTAAAATAGTGCCGGTAGTTAGCAAAAATAATTTGCGCTATGAGATTTAAATCGCTTCAGGGAGTTTCACGTGATGATATTTTTCGCATACTGCGCGAGCTGCGGCTGCTGGGAAAATACTCCACCTCACTAGCATGGATTGTGCCATAGAAGGGGTTCTGGATGTTGAGTAACATGGAAATATATATATCACAGTGATCCCACCTGGTCATGGCATCTTTCTTTATTTCCATTCTTGAGAATAAGTGTATACATATGTTTATTGTTTTCCTTCACAAGCCTTACTGAAACTCTATCAGTTCGCTCCTGGCAAAACAATGACACTTCTCGCAAAGTCAGAAATCGGAGATGGAGTTTAATTCGAGTAATCGTTACCTGTATCGGGTCCCCAAAATGACATGAGTCCTAGGATCTTACTTCCCGGAAAGGCTTCATCCCCTGGGTCAGGTGCGACACTCCCTGTCGTCTGACTGAGGATGTTGTCGAAACTCTCGAGATCCTTCCTTTAAAATTACTTTCCCCTCACTCTTGGTTGCCTTTTCAACTCGAGCTCAACTTTTCACTCTTTATTTCGACGTGTGTCGATACTTTTAATCGACAACTAAATTTGGGTTTATCTTCGGCAGACAAGTGATGATCGGAGGTGAGAGTTTCGAGAAGCTTCACGTTCGGTACTTGCAAACGAACATGATAAACATGAAATCGAGCACGACAGCGGCGTCCACCTTCAAACCTTTAGTCACTGGCTTCTCCTGAAAGCTAAGCGTTTGTCGTCCAGCCGACCGAGCCCCGCCTTCTAAAGCTTCCAGAAGCTTGAGACTCATTTCCTGGTAGCGAGCATCGTCGTTATTCTCCACACCGACCTGTCTCAGTTTGATCCTCACCAATAATGTGTCAATTAGGAATTCCCTAAAGTAGGATCTACATACCTGAACAAATTTCCAGTACTTGAAGGGAAGCAGAACGAACATTCAATTAAAAGAAACAAAAAGTATGACACTGGTAATTCATCAATCATATCATTGCAGAAATCAGCTGTCTTTACATCTCAAACACGTTCCGATCCATTGGAAGGCAGGTAAATCAGCTGCACATGGTGATGGGATGGACTGGTGCAAAACCTTGATTTAAGTGGCAGAACCAATGAACAAAAGATCAAGGATCTCAAAAGAATTGAAGATTGCAATATTGGGTTTTCAGCCTGGGCATAATGGCTAGATTTGGCATCAATTCTGTGCCTGATACCTGATACAAATTTTGGGGGGGAGAATATGAGTGCGAGAAGTGTGTCGGGCAGACCGGAGGAAAAGGAGCAAACTTTACAATTCCAAATAACTGTGCTTTCCTTGGTTTCGACTTGAGCATTCGTCGACACATTTACTGTTATCACATTTACCACCTAAGGAAGACAGTGTTATACGAGAGGAATACCCGCACCCAATTCCCGATACAGTTCCAGCACCTGCAGATTTCTATCTCAAAAAAGACTAGATCTGCATTCATCTGTGGTGCTCAACTTGTCACACTTGATGCGTGCGTTATTCCACAGACGACCAGACTAGAAAACCACACGAACAGAAATGTTTTCGAACTTGACCGGCCGATGATGACGCAAACATTGCTATGCATCTCAGAACATCACGCAAACGGCTACGGTGTATTATTGGGAGAAGGCGCATGTACGGTTTATTGCAATGTCTAGTAGTTGCTCTGCCACAAAGCGTGGGACTGGGAATCCTCCTTGCAAGGCTCTTGCAAAGTCTTGAATAACAATGTGGGATTGACGGGTAAATTCCCGCCTCCGAGGCATTTGTTTATTATTCAAGAGTTGATTGATATGGCAATTCTTGCGAATACTACTACAAGTCTTGGTTTAATGCGGTGTTTAGCCTGTTTTTTTTTAGCCGGATAACTATCTGCTTTCGGCATATGGCTCGTTGCCATCTTGAGTGATTTCTCAATTACACAAGTTTCAAATCGATAGATTCTTGGAAACAATGTCTACATCAATGTGCCGCTAGTTTCTTACAAAGCTCGCCGGCTTTAGCTACTGTGTCTATGGTAATCCGGCGTACTGTTTTGGCAAAGCAAAGTCCAGCCGTTCCTTGTGCTTGGGCTTCCGGAGCTTTCTCCCGAGACAAGATGCACGTCGTTCAGAGTGTCGGGCATACCTACTCAAAGTGCGTCTGCGTCAATGGCCTCGATAGCCTGCGTTGGATTGGATGAACAAGGATCGATGGTGTGAACCACGCGACGCTCTTCCCTTGAATTAATTTTTGGTGGATAGAAATTGATTGAGATGCGACTATTATATGTGCTGACTCGAGCTCTCTGCATGAAGGGCTCTTCCTGTAAGTCTACAATCAACCCAAACTAGAGCAAGCTCCTTATATCAATAAGGCGTATATACGTCTGATCGTCTGATCGTCTGATCGTCTGATCGTACGATGTAGGTTTTGCTAACCTCATGCATAATCGAAAGACGGTTCAGAACATCTGTTGAGCCACAGGCTACTTTGACTAGGTATTTCCTACGACTATCTATAACTTCCAAATAGGATTCTATGTCATGTCAATGCTGCATTGATAATGCAGCTAATCTCAAATGGTCATCACGGATCAGGCAGAGTAAAGAGAGTCCCTTTCTTCACCGCTCATGCTGTAGCTAGACACGGTTACATCACTTCCGACCCAGCCCTAAAGCGGTTTTTAAGGCTCCAATGGCACGTACAACATACTTATACATTACATACACGCCTTTTATGTTAGTATATAAGAAGTTAGCTTACCAAATAATGACTTCATTGCATACATGGATATAGCATCTCAGTCCACGCAACTCTCAAGTCGACCCCGCCATGCCAAATGATTTGATGACACCGACAATAGAGTCTTTCTATCTATCACATCGTGGATTACGTCGCCCTTGAGGCTATGCTCGTTCCCGAGCGGATCAACACCGTCGCAAAGTTTCAGAGAACCCCTCGGTCCAAATCATGAACACATCGGAACATCGTCCGAATTTGACATGACTCCGGTTTCCCTTCCCCCCACCTTGGGCATCTCGAGATGGACTCACACACCCAGATAGACACTATCACTTGTGCATGAAACCGCTTTTTTGGTCATTCACAGATGACAAAACCTACGGTACCTGAGCATGGGTAAAATTGTCACTTTGAAGTGGGAATTTTCCACGAGCTTCATCTTGTGGCCAACTCGCACTTCACGTTAGCTTTTAAAGACCGACATTTGTGCGCTGTTATTCTAAAGGCATTCGGTCCACAGCCGCCCATGTATCCTCTTGCATCATTATTGGACAATTTAAGGATGCCATTCTCCTCATTACTCTTCGCCGTTGAAGTAGAGTGCAAGTGTAGCATGATGTATGCATGGAACAATTTTGTCTTGTAAAAAGTCACTTCTGAGTTCCTGGGCTGCGAATACCTTGAATTGTCAATCATTGCAAGAGCTAAGGATATTCATTTCGAGCTGCTCAAGGCACCGTATCTCAATTATCATGACGATCTAACATTAGCCAAAACTCGTTCACATGTATGAAATGCTGTGTAACCACAATTGCAGAGAAAATCTCTGTGCATGAATCGAGCACCACTGGACGGGGCTTGTATAGGTTTCTTTCCGAAGCAAAATTTGGAGATACGGCAAGCCCTGTCAAATCTCGGTCTGCTGATCGATACGGTGACATGGAAATCTGTGGCCGATAATCCTGCAGGAAAATGTTGCGATTAAATACTCAAATATGCATGCGAGAGGCGAGGGCAGAATCAGCTTATTGGATGAATATGGGATGATGACCAGAATATTACGCGAACTCTACTACCATCAAATTGTGAGTATATTGAAGAAAAGATACTAACATTGGGCAAATGGGGGGTTCAAAAGTTAAACAGACCTTTAGCGTGGAAGACAGAGAGAGATGGAGAGAAAAAAATTGACGTTGTGGAATCCAAAATTTGATCCATTTTTTTGTGGTTCGAAATAAATAAGCCTACAAGGTTTAATATCCATCAAAGCGTGGAACGAATCAATGGAACTTATGGAACAAGTGGGACGAAATATAATCCTGGTGGAAACTCTGGCGAACACGCACTTTGAACTTCCATGCACATCATCTTTTTCAAATTTCAATCTTCTAATTTCAAATTTCAAGCGCTTCGGGGTCTAAGCTTGCAAGTTTCAACATGGGCAAAAATGAAAGCTCACTTCGGATATACCCTCGTAAATTAAAAAGCGATTGTAGTCCACAATTCAGGACCGGATCCCCCGAATAGTTTCCACACATTTCTCACCTTAGTACATTCTGCATAGCCTTGGAAGTTACAACAGGTCCCATGTTCCACGAGTCGCAGCTAGAACATTTCAGCGAATGTTCCTTCTCGCTTCAAGCTCCACTTCTGTGTTCTTATGCCCAACGTAGGAGTTATTCATCAAACTTTACGCAAAGAGGTAGGTCCCTAAATCTACCTAGTATGTGTGTGAAATTTTAGTCCCATGCTTGCAGGTAATTAAGTAAGGAGTTGTTGTTCTGATTGAAGTCTTCTCAAGATCAGCAAAGGCTTCGCTGTACAGTTATTGCATGCTCTGCAATGATCTAATGTCGTTCATCTTGTACTTTTTCCCTCCTGGACTTCTTCCCTGGGCTTCAGGTAAGGATGTTTCAACTTTCTCGCATTAATGCCACGTTTAGGTATTCCTAGTCGTCGCGCTACGATTCCAATTTTGTGACACGGGCCGTTGCGTTTAAGGGGTCATACAAGCTTCGTCATTATCATAAGTCCATTTTGTTACGACGGAAACTTTATCTCCTACTGGTTACCATGTTCTGGAAATTCCATGTGCATAACCCCTGTCAAAATTGACCCCGCAAGGCCTTGCTAAGCTGCCGGGCTTTTCTCTTCTCCATTATCCCATGTTCATCCTACCCTTGACTGATCAGCAACCAGCACCATGTCACACCATCGTGGGTCCTCACCGCTTGCTAAAGTGTTATTACTGCATTACAGTACTGATAATCTCCAATCTGACGAAGAGCAAATAACAAGCTACACGACAACCGTTGAGCTCCGCATTTGAAAACGGTTGTTAATTGGCATCCCTTCTAAAGCTCTTCTGTTACCCAACCCTTCATCTGCAAGCTATACCATATTTAATAGGTCTTCAACCGAGGATATCCCAACTATCAAGTTCTTAATTTATCGAGGACCCTTGAGACTTTACTTCACTTCTACATATTTATATCAAATCTTCGTCTTCCATCCGACATCTTCATCACATTCCATCTCTTTTATCATTCATAATATACATACCAATTCAACCATTCACCATGGCACCTAGTCGACTCACAGAAGAGGATGAAGTAGCTGTCCCAGAGATTAGCTATGACATCAACCTCCCATACAATCATATATCCGATGAATACGACCAGCGATCTAAATGTCGAACAGAATTCCCAAGCTACCTTCCATCGGTAAGTGATAGGCTTAATCCCGTTTCATTAACCAACCACTAATAAACAGGAAGTGGGAGGACGATGTCTGGTTCGACGAAGTTAAGCACTTCGAGTATCATGACCCAGCCCTGCGAGCAAACAAGTCTAAGCCAAACCTTTTCAAGGGTGGTGTCAAAGCCAAGCACATTACGCCTAAGATGGGAACTATTTTGAGTGGTGTAAAAATGGAGGAGCTCTCTGACGCAGGCAAAGACGAACTTGCACTTTTGATAACCGAGCGGAAAATTGTTGTTCTCCGAGAACAATCTGACTTTCTTCACGCCGGTCCCCAATTCCAACAAGATTTCATGT